GCGGGGCGGGAGGAGAGAAGTGTGTGGGCTCACCGCCCACACGTCCACTCGCTCGTCGTAGGCCCCGCGGAGCATCTCTGGCGCCTGCACGCAGCGGCGGCGGCGGGTGTGTGTGTGTGGGGGGGGGCTTCGGTTGGCACGCCGCAAAAAGCGGTGGTGAGGGAAGTTGCGGCTTGGCCGCGCGCGGTGGCCCTCGCCGCGCGGCGGCCGGTGGCGGCCGGCCGGCGGCGAGGGAGTGTGCGAGCTATGCGCGGGGAGGCCTGTGCAGTCTATGGCTCGGGGCGCCATGTAGTCGACGGTGCCGCAGAGCTCGGAGAGGGGGTCGTCCCCCGCCGTGTGCCGCGTCGCCAGCCCAAAGTCGACCAGCTTGAGCCGCGCGTCGTCCGACGGAGAGCCGAACAGCAGGTTTTGCGGCTTGATGTCGCGGTGCACGATGCCGAGGTCGTGGCAGCACCTGACGGCCTGGAGGCACTCGTAGGCGAGCCGCGCAGCGAGGCGCTCCGAGTAGGGCTCCTCCCGCGCCAGCAGCCACTGCGGCAGCTCGCCGCCGCCGCACAGCTGCAGCGCCAGCAGCACGTAGGTGCCGTCGTCCGCGGTGCCGTAGAAGCGAGGCATGTGCCGGTGCTGCGTGCGGCCGAGCTCGGCGGTGATGTCGACCTCGCGCTGGAGCAGCTCCTGCCACGGCGTGGTGGCTCCGCCCGCCTCGGCCTGCTCCCGCGTCCGCTGCTTGCTGATCGCCTTGACACACATCACCTTCCGGCCGAGGGCGCCGCCGAGCGACATCGTCGCGAGGTGGACGGAGCCAAAGGCGCCGAGCCCGAGCGGGTCTGGGTCCACCTCGAAGGCCGGCCCGAGCGCGGAGAAGTCGGGCTCCTCCTCGTGCTCCATTTTGGGAACACGAGCGAGCGCGGCACAGTTCTCAAGCACCGCCTTTGGATCGAAAGAAAACCTCGCAGGCATTTGCACACCGGTAGGCAGCCGTCTACGATTTTGAACGAGTGGGCGGTGCAGGCTGTCTGTTTACAGGCGCCGTCCGCCCGCGCGCGCGCCGACCCAACTCCGAGCACGCTCGCTCGCCGCTGGGCGGCGCGCGTCCACAGCTCCACACTGCGTCGGCAACACGACGCAGGAGCTCGCTCACTGCTGCTGCGGCGGCGGCAGCGACGGCGACTGCGAGCTGACGGCTGACGGCTGTACGGCTGTACGGCTGACGGCTGGCGGCCGGCGGCTGCGGCGAACGGCGACGGCTCGGTTCGCGTTCGCCCCGCGACGGTGCGACTGAGCCTGCCACGCTCGATCTGGGAGCCACTCGGCGCCAGTTCGAGCGGCGGTCGGCTCGGCCACTGCGGGTGCGACGCATGATAGAGCTGCTGGGCGCCGCATCGTGTACTACCGACCCACGCCAAGGCGCGGGGCGGTGGTGCTCGCCGGCGCTCGCGGTGCTTCGGTGCTCGAGCGCGCTCAACATTGTGGTCGTTCAGGGCGGCTCGCACAGCGCCCGCAGACACACACACACACACACACACACACACACACACACACACACACACACACACACACACACACACACACACACACACACACACACACACACACACACACACACACACACACACACACACACGCAAGGGCGAGGACACGCGCAGGGGCCGCACCTCTAGCGAAGCCCACAGAGTGGCACACACACACACACACACGCAAGGGCGAGGACACGCGCAGGGGCCGCACCTCTAGCGAAGCCCACAGAGTGGGAGACTCCTATCACCGCCCTGCCACCCACGTGAGCCTTTTGGCCGCCTCTGTCAGTGTGCCCGTGGTAGTGAGAGACTGCTGGTGAGAAGCCGGAGGAAGGTCGCTAGTCGAGAGAGATCGCCAGTGGAATAGGGAGTCCACCGTGCTGCGAGCCTGTCGCTGTCCCTTGTCAGGAGCAGGAGAACTAGGAGAGCGCAACCAGTAGGAGGCCCGCGCCTGCCCCCGTGCCGCCGGGTGCAACCTGTCCTATACGAGAGAGGAATCCCTGGGACCCTGTCGTGTGGGTGAACCCTGCCCAGCCCCCCTCCGTGTCGCGATGCGCTCCCCGCTCCCGTTCCCCTGTGTCCCTGATCGTCCTTCCAAGATCCTGCTCGTGCAGGTGGGGACCCTGTCCCTCTCCCACCCCTCGTTTGGCGTGCCCGTTTTATTTATTTTATTTATTTTATTTATTTATTTAGGCAGGCGTGTGCCGATATACAAAGTGCAGATGTCCTTTTCAGCCTGCCGAGAGCTTCCTGGCCCGCGCGCGCGCTCCGCCTGCCGCGCGGAGCGACTCGGTGGACGTCCGAGCCCGCCGCCCCTCGCCACTGCTCCCTGCTGGCCCATTCAGCGCGACACCGCCGGCGCTGCGCCTGCTTCCTTGTGCGCCGCTGGACGTCGGCCGAAAAGACCGCTTCCCTCTGGGGACCCGACTCCGCGAAGATCGCGCGCGCGTCGTGAATGCGGCGCGCGCGCGATCTCTGCTCCCGGGCACGCCGGTCGCAGTGGCATGGGATCCCAGGCTCAAAACATCGTGCCCAACAGCGAGAGCGCCGCCGCTGCTCCTCCTCCCGCCGCCGCTCCGCTCACCGAGACAAACTCGGTGCCGCCGTTCTCGCCGCCGCCGCCGCCGCCGCCGCCTCGCCCCTCGCCTCCGTCACCGCCGCCCTCCATCTCGCGGCGGCGTCCCTCTGAGATGGCGCGGGCGCCTCGCTCGCCGGCGCCTCGCCGCTGCCCCCCCCTCTCGCCGCCGCTCCGCTCGTGGCCGCCGCCTCCCCTGTCAATCCCGCCGTCCGCACCACCGCTGCCGCCGCCTCGCGCCTCGCCGCCGCCGCCGCCGCCCTCCCCCTCGCCGCTGAGCGGTGCTTGGCGAGCCTTCTCACCCGCCCCCGGACGCGCTGGCCGCTGCGCGCACAGCCTGTGGGTCAGCCTGTGCACACTCTCTCCTTCTCTGTACTATCCCGCCGTCCGCACCACCGCCTCGCGCCTCGCCGCCGCCGCCGCCGCCCTCCCCCTCGCCGCTGAGCGGTGCTTGGCGAGCCTTCAGTGACAAGGGCCTTCTCACCCGCCGTGTCGCCCGGCCGGGCGCTGGCCGCTGCCTCTGCCAGCACAGCCTACCCCTAGGAGCTAGGTGCACACTCTCTCCTTCCTCTGTACTCTGACTGCGCCGCCGGCGCCGCCACGCATGCAGTTGGGTGCTTGGGTCAGCGGCGTGAGCCGAGAGGTGGCCCACGCCGCTGACAGCGCTCAGCGCGGGGGGGGGGGTAGGGCCGGGAGGGGGCGCCCCCCGCGCCCACACACGCCCGCGCGCCCAGCGCAGCAGCACGACGGCTCCTCTCGCCACCCCACGCGCGGGGGCGTGACGTCTGTAGCGAGGCGACGGACGGTGGGACGGTGTCCGACCCGTTCTGGGGTTTTCATATGATGCCGCTCTACTCGTATCGCGACCAATAAAATACCGCCGGGGGAGGCCTGCGCAGCCTCTAACTATTTGGCAGTGTGACAGAGGCCTTTTTCGGGTTCCAGAACTATCTTGTTCCCGACACCGAGACAGAGATCACTTCTTCTGTGGTGCGTGACCTAGTAGTGTCCCCAGCTCTGGGCGTGTCCGGGGAGGGCGATGTGGGTGCGAGTCGAGACAATGTTCGTGACCCACCCATCACGTTAGTCCAGCCAGCGCATAATTCTCACGTCTCACCTGCAAGCCCCTCCCTCACTCGCGCTCGGTGGAGGAGGCCTCGCCCGAGGCGGCGAGCCAGCTCACCGGCGTGGCGAGGTCAGCGTGGTCAAAACGTGAGAAGGCAAAATCGGTGCGGTGGGGCCCGAGCAACTCGTACAGCGCGGCGGTGCCCTCGATCGCGCCTTCCGCCTGCAATGTCAGTGTGGCAGAGTGCGGATGCTGTGCGTATGCGCTGATTGTTGAGTAGATCTAATCAATGGCGCCATGGCCGAGGTTGTGAAGCGGCCCGAGAGCGGGTAGCTGTCGACTTTGCCGTTGCGCGGAGCGGCCGACGAGAAGGACTGTCCCACAAGGCCATGCGGTAGGGCCCGCGCCGCCGCCCCGGCGACAGGCTTGAAGGTGAGATCGAGCCGGTGGGTCGGCCCGCTGACTCGATCGTACACGAAGTTGCCGCGCACCACCACGGTCCAGTCATCGCGGTACTTGAAGGTCGCGCTAGAATACCTGCGCGTACGCCACTCCAGCCATGAAGTGGGCACAACGGCAGCTGTGGACTGACCGTGGCTCGCCTCATCTGAATGTTGAGATCGCCGCAGCACTTGTAGCCGCCGAGGCCCATCTTGAAGTAGCGGCCAGAGCACGTCCCGTTGATCACCTTCCAACCTGTGCGAGGGACACGCCGCTCGACGTAATCCTGCGTGGGTGAGACCGAAGGGCAGGGAGAACGTGCAACCAGCGCGCCGGTATTGAACTCGTCGAGCTCCTTGGCCCAGAAAGAGGCTTTGTCGCTCAGCACACTCATCAGCCCGAGGTCTGCCATCTGAGCCTTCGGTGGATGATAGCCTCTGCGGACGACAAAGTGCGCCTCAGTGATGAAGGACCCGTCCACGGTCAGCTCCGAGTTGTGCAGCTTGAATGTGGCGTCCTGTGCGTGCATACAGACAGGGGGACTGAGCCTATGGTTGTGCGACCGGCGCGGAGGAGGCCACGGGCTCTCCTCCGTCTTGACGTTGACGGCGAACCCGGGCGAGGAGAGGAAATTGTAGTACACCCTGTTCCTGCCTCGGAAGTCCGCTCTACCGCCATGAGGGAACGCGATGTGCGGGTCCTTCTTCGCGCCGCCGCCCGAGGTGTCGGTGACGCTTGCACCCGAAAACACCTGTTACCAAATCTGTGGGTTAGGTCCGTCCACAGGACCGGCACACCACGTGGGGCGCTGTACCGCGACGCCGAGGATCGCGGTGGCGGACTCCTGGCTTTGAAAGAGATCCCTTGCCGAGTCCAAGACCGAGTCGTGGTTCGAGTCAGTGGTCAGGATGGTGATGGTGACGACGACGTCGTCCCCGTCAGCAAGGCGACGGCGCTGGCCCACTTCGACCCCATCGCACCTCATGGACACCTCGGGGAAGGGGATGGCGAGCCGCTTCCCGGCGAGGACCTTGCCGGATAGGCCGGGACAGCTCTTTGCCCTGAGCAATATGGTGACCTCCTTGGTGGCGGCGCCGGCAGGATAGTCCGGGGCGGTGGGGGGGAAGGGGGAGAGGGGAGGAGCGATGATCGGGACGAGCGGGGGGTGTGGCGGCGGGGACTTGAGGGGCAGGTAGCCAGGCGGCGGCGAGGGCAACGCGGAGGGGGGTGGAGGCGAGGGTGGTACGGATGGCGGCGGCGAGGGCAACGCTGACGAGGGCGGAGGAGGCAAGGGCGAGGCGGACGGGGGCGGCGGCGAGGGCAAGGTGGACGGCGGTGGCGACGCAGAGGGCGGTGGCGAGGGCACCGCAGAGGGCGGCGGGGGTGAAGGCGAGGCCGAAGGCGGCGGCGAAGGCGATGCAGAGGGGGGCGGTGGCGAGGGCGAGGCGGAGGGGGGCGGCGGCGAGGGCAACGCGGAGGGGGGTGGAGGCGAGGGTGATGCGGACGGGGGCGGCGGCGAGGGCAAGGTGGACGGCGGTGGCGAGGGCGACGCAGAGGGCGGCGGGGGTGAGGGCGAGGCCGAATCGGGCGGCGGCGAAGGCAATGCAGAGGGGGGCGGGGGCGAGGGCGAGGCGGAGGGGGGCGGCGGCGAGGGCTGGGGCGGGGGCGAGGGCGAGGCGGAGGGGGGCGGCGGCGACGACGGCGTGTCTGCGGTGCCAGTGGTGTTGGGGGGCCTCAGCATGCTGTAGTAGCCGTCTAAGGGCTTGTTGGTCCAGCCCAAGTGAGTGCA